TTTTATGGGCATTTGCATCTTTCAGGTTTTTGGCTGTTATAAATAATGTCACTATAAACATTTGGTCATAGGGTTTTGGGTTTTTTAAATACTTTCTTGTCAAGTTAGCTAATATATAATGTGGTCTTGGCTTCAGGAGTAGATTCCTGTGATTCATTAGTCACATACAACACCCAGTGCTCATCCCAACAAGTGCCCTCCTCAATGTCTATCACTCATTTTCCCCACCTCCCAAACCTCCCACCCCCATCAACCCTCAATCTGTTCTCTGTATTTAAGAGTCTCTTATGGTTTGCCTCTCTCTGTTTGTAACTTATTTTTCCTTCCCTTCCCTGATGGCCTTCTGTTAAGTTTCTCAAATTCCACATATGAGTGAAAACGTATGATGTCTTTCTCTGACTGACTTATTTTACTTAGCATAATACCCTCCAGTTACATCCACATTGTTGCAAATGGCAAGAGTTCATTCTTTTTATCACCAAGTAGTATTCCATTTTGTGTGTGTGTGTGTGTGTATATGTATGTATGTTGTATTAATAATACATATATGTACATATATATGTATATATTATATAATACAATATATGTAATATACATACAATATAGCACACTATAATACAATACAATATGTATTATACATATAATACAATATATGTATATTGTATTAATAATACATATATTATACATACATGTATGTATATATTATATATGTATATTAATATTATATGTACATTTGTGTATGTGCACATTATATGTACATTATATGTATATGTATATGTACATTACATGTACAATATGTATTATACATGTAATACAATATACATACATGTATGTATATGTATACATGTATATGTATAATACATAATACATATATAATATATACATATATGTGTATATTATATACACATATTATTACATACTCTATAATACATATATGTTACATATACATATTATGTATATATTATATATGTATGTTGTATTAATATATGTATGTATATATATGTATGTATATATATTAATATGTATGTATATTGTATTAATAATACATATATGTATACATATATATGTATATATTATATATACATTATATAATACAATATGTGTATTGTATTATACTATAATATAATATATAATACAGTATAATACAATATAATATGTATTGTACATATAATATATGTATATTGTATTAATACATATATGTACATATATGTATATATTATATATATTATATAATACAATATAATAATACATATGTTGTATATTGTATTATATTATCCATTCATCACTTGATGGACATTTGGGCTCTTTCCATAATTTGGCTATTGTTGGTAGCACCGCTATAAACATTGGGATACATGTGCCCCTGCGAATCAGCATTCCTGTATCCTTTGGATAAATTCCTAGTAGTGCTATTACTGGGTCATAGGGTAATTCCATTTTTAATTTTTTGAGGAACCTCCATACTGTTTTCCAGAGTGGTTGTACCAGTTTGCATTTGTAACACCAATGCAAGACGGTTCCCCTTTCTTCACATCCTTGCCAAACATCTGTTGTTTCCTGAGTTGTTAATTTTAGCCACTCTGACCGGTCTCAGTGTGGTTTTGATTCATACATTTCCCTGATGATGAGCAAAGTTGAGCATCTTTTGATGTGTCTGTTAACCATCTGGAAGTGTTCTTTGGAAAAGTGTCTATTCATGTCTTCTGCCCGTTTCTTCACTGGATTATTTTTTGGGTGTTGAGTTTGGTAAGTTCTTTATAGATTTTAGATACTAACCCTTTATCAGATATGTCATTTGCAAATATATTCTCCCATTCCATTGGTTGCCTTTTAGTTTTGTTGATTATTTCCTTTGCTGTGCAGAAGCTTTTTATCTTGATGAGGTCCCAATAATTCATTTTTGCTTTTATTTCCCTTGCCTTCAGAGATATGTCAAGTAAGAAGTTGCTGTAGCTGAGGTCAAAGAGATTGTTGCCTGTTTTCACCTCTAGAATTTTGATGGTTTCCTATCTCACATTTAGGTCCTTCATCCATTTTGAATTTTTTTTGTGTATGATGTAAGAAAGTGGTCCAGTTTCATTCTTCTGCATGTTGCTGTCCAGTTCTCCCAGCACCATTTGCTGAAGAGACTGTCTTTTTTCCATTGGATACTCTTTCCTGCTTTGTCAAAGATTAGTTGGCCATATATTTGTGGGTCCATTTCTGGGTTCTCTATTCTATTCCACTGGTCAATTTGTCTGTTTTTGTGCCAATATCACAGTGTCTTGATGATTACAGCTTTGTAGTATAGGCTAAAGTCTGGGATTGTGATGCCTCCAGCTTTGGTTTTCTTTTTCAACATTTCTTTGGCTATTCTGGGTCTTTTGTGGTTCCATACAAATTTTATGATTATATGTTTGTTCTAGCTCTGTGAAGAATGCTGGTGCTATTTTGATAGAGGTTTCATTGAATGTGTAGATTCCTTTGTTAGTATTAACGTTTTAACAATATTTATTCTTCCAATCCATGAGCATGGAATGTTTTTCCATTTCTTTGTGTCTTCTTCAGTTTCTTTGATAAGCTTTCTATAGTTTTCAGCATATAGATGTTTTATCTCTTTAGTTAGTTTTATTCCTAGGTATTTTGTGGTTCTTGGTGCAATTATAAATGGTTTATAATTTAATAATAATATAATAATTATTATTTATAAATAGAATAAATAATAATAATTATAAATTATTTATGGTTCTTGGTGCAATTATCAATTTTTCTGTTGCTTCGTTATTGGTGTAGGGAAATGCAACTGATTGCTGTACATTAATTTTATATCCTGCAATTTTGCTGAATTCAGGTATCAGTTCTAGCAGTTTTTTGTTGGAGTCTTTCAAGTTTTCCATGTAGAGTATCATGTCATTTGCAAAAAGTGAAAGTTTGACTTCTTCTTTGCCAATTTGGATGCCTTTTATTTCATTTTGTTGTCTGATTGTTGTGGCCAGGACTTCCAACAATATGTTAAACAACAGTGGTGAGAGTGGACGTCCCTGTTGTGCAGATTTTATATTTGTTGTACCTGGAGTATGAAAGACATCAGAGGAATATAGGGTGATGAAAGTATTATCTAAACATCCCTTTCCCTTTTCTCCTCTTAGCTAGGATCAAGCCTCTAGGAGTTCTTAGATACATTTTGTTATGTTTAATTTTAGTAAGATGTTTCTTTCTGGCTGATTTGGTTCTTTTGGTAGTTTAAAATCATACTTTAAAGTAAATAGTTTTAAAATATGAATCTATGGTTTTAAAATACAATTTAAAATAAGATCTCTGGGACATCTGGTGGGCTCAGTCAGTTAAGCATCCAACTCTTGATTTCAGCTCAGGTCATGATCTCATGGTTTGTGAGTTTAAGCCTCACTCCGAGCTCTGTGCTCACAGTGAGCAGCTTGCGTGGGATTGTCTCTCTCTCTCTCTCCCTCTGACCCTGTCCCACTTGTGCTGTCTCTCTCTCTCTGTCAAAAATAAATAAATACACATTTAAAAAAAATAAAATAAGATCTCTCTTGCATCTACACCATGAGAATAAATTTAGAATGATAGATGTGCCATAAGCCTAGTCCAATCTATTATTACATATTAATAAATTGAGTTTCATTTGTCTATACCAACCACATAATTTTTATGTAAAATAGTAGTCATGCAGTATGTCATAATTCTGTTTGTCAAACATAAATGAATTTTTTTTTATTGCCAGAAGTAGATTGTTTGTATTGTTGATATTGTCTTCACTTATTTTTAAAAAGATGACTTCAACTATTGTATATTTTCCTTTGTTGAACTTACTCTTCTTAATTTCAGAAAAGGAGGTTTTTAACATTTTTATGCTGCTGCTGAAGGGAAAGTTTGTTCATTATCTCCTCCTCGATAACTTTCTTATAGGGCCTTTTACTTAAGCAATAGGTAGAGGTTTGAAGGACAGTTGAAAAAAGTGTCAGTGAGTAGTAAGAGTCATTCAGCATTTTTATTGTATGTATGAACTTTATTGAGAATTTAAAATCTTTTTTGATAGTACTATGAATTAATGAATATTTTTCTATATTTTTTCCATTTTCTCCACATTTTTTGTCATTGAACCCGTAGCTAACAATGAATATATTTGAAGCAACAATAATGTACAGCAAAATAAATATGCACTCAAGAACAACCAAAATATCAACAACAAAAAAATCAAGACTCAATTTGACTTTAAGCTGTAAGGTTGGAAGAATGGAAAGGGAATGTATGCAAATTTAGTCAAATAAATAAATCATCCTTCTAGCAAATACATATTTTGCATCTGAAAAATGAAAGAAAATGCATGTTATGCCATCTTTTATAAGGCTTTTTCTGACTGTCTTATTCACACACACACACACACACACACACATATACACACACACACACATAAGTCTCCTTTGTCTTAGATGATGCTTCTTGATACCTTTAGATAACTTTCTCAGAGAGATAAGTAGATTCTAGAAGAGGTTATATTACTACATCATGAAAGAAAAAACAAGAAAAAAAAGGTCCATTAACCTATTCTTTCATGATTTAAAATGTGTGTCAGAGATGTCTTAGTTATATTGTGTCTTCAGTTTCAATTTTTAGTGACATAAAATTATTGATCTATTATAATCAGCCTTTCAGTGTAAGGACTATAGAGGTCCTTAAGAACAGTAAGGTGTCTTTTCTTTTTTTTCTTTTCTACAGACTTTTTATTTACCAATTCAGCATTATTACTTAAAAGTAGTGATGTGAATGGAAACAGTGTGAGTGTTTTGCAGTTCTTGAGAGATTTTATACACTTTTATCATATTATTCTACAGTGTACTTTAAAAATTACATCTGTATCTATCAAGAAAAAAATTTCTCAATTCTAGGATAAACCACATTCTTTTAAAAAATTATCTTAAAATGTATGCTCAATTTAAAACTCCTTTAAATTTTTTTTTTCCAGTGAATTGATTTTACTCTCATTCTTTCTTCCCCAGTGGTCATATGCTTTGGAAAAGCCCAACACCGGCAGTATATTTAACATCGCGTGGTCAATTGATGGCACTCAGATCGCTGGAGCCTGTGGAAATGGGCATGTTGTTTTTGCACATGTGGTGGAGCAGCGTTGGGAGTGGAAAAATTTTCAAGTAACATTAACTAAACGAAGGACCATGCAGGTATGATTATGTTCCATGGTTGATCAAACCTGCCTCTTTTCACATTAGCTCACTATACAGAATATGGAGTTATCTTCACTAATTGTATTTAAACCAAGTTTATAAAAATTCAGTCATATTTAATATATTTCACCAATGCCATTGGTGACTTTTTCATGACATAATATAAGAACCTTTCACTGATACAGAACCTGAGTACCCACAGCTACTGTGGTTATGGGGTTGAGGCAGGGATGGTGAAACTTGAAGCATTTAGGGACTATGTGGATTCAGTTCTGGAAGGAGGGAAGAAGCTGCAACAAGTTAGATTTAACTCCTGGACCTGACCCCATGGCAGGCCTAGCCTGCTAGTCACTGTCAGGGTTACATTATTTTATTAATTTATAATTGCATAAGCTTATTTAACCTGTTTACAAAATTTTTTTTCCTTTTAAGAATTACCTAAGGCTAGCCAAAGTAGGAAAACAGTGGGAAATTCTTATTGGGAGATAGGAAGTGAAAAACAGGTACTTTTGGAGGGAAATAAGATGGGAAGGTTCGGGGGCACCTAAGTGGCTCAGTCAGATGAGTGTCCAACTTCAGCTTAGGTCATGGTCTCACAGTTTGTAGGTTTGATCACCATGTCTGGCTCTATGCTGATGGCTCAGAGCCTGGAGCCTGGAGCCTGGAGCCTGTGTCTTCTCTCTCTGCCCCTCCCTCACTCAAACTCTCTTTCAAAAATAAATAAAGATTAAACAAAAAAATTTTTTAAAGGACAGGAAGGCTGGGATGTAGCAGTAGAAAGTTGAGGGAAATGTTGTTCAGGTCAGAGAACTCCAGTAGGGGGGTTATCTATGCACTAGAAGCTTCTTAAGTGTACAATACTGTTATTTCACTCAAGCCCAGTGTCTTGCATATAATAGATGCTCAACAAATAAATTTAAAAAGTTTTAATTTATTTATTTTAGAGAGAGAGAGTGTAAGTGGGCAAGAGGGGCAGAGGGAGAATGAGAGAATCTTTTTTTTTTAATGTTTATTTATTTTTGAGAGAGAGACAGAGTGAGAGTGGGCGAGGAACAGAGAGAGAGGGAGACACAGAATCTGAAGCAGGCCCCATGCTCTGAGCTGTCAGCACAAAGCCCCACGCAGGGCTTGAACCCATGAACTGCAAGATCGTGACCTGAGCCAAAGTCAGATGCTTAACTGACAGAGCCACCCAGGAGCCCCGGAATGAGAGAATCTTAAGCAGGCTCCATGCTCAGTGCAGAGCCCGACAGGGGGCTCGACCTCACCACTCCGGGATCATGACCTGAGCCAAAAGCTAGAGTCAGATGTTCAACCAACTGCGCCACCCAGGTGCCTGGTCAACAAATATTTTAAAAGTTAGTTGACAAAAGATACAAGGAAGAGGCCAGAGACAATGTACCAATGGCAAACCCTCTGCCAGAGAAAGGAGAACTGTACCTTCTAACTCTTCTTCCTCCTATTATATCAATTGCCTCTGTCTTCATATTCAGAATTCAGACTATTATAATTATTTGGAAGCATGTATCTTGTAATTTCTAGGTCTACTCAAATATTCTTTAGCCTAAGTATCCAGATTTTTTTATTTGGATAATATGGTCACTAGATTTGTAATAATTAGGTATGTTATAGTTTTTCTTTGTTCTGTTTACTTAGTTTTTAAATTTTAAACATTTTATTATGGAGTATTTTTTTTTTAATGTTTGTATTTGAGAGAGAGAGAGAGAGACAGAGAGACAGAGACAGAGAGTGAGCGGGAAGGGCAGAGAGAGAGAGAGGAAAACACAGAATCTGAAACAGGCTCCAGGCTCTGAGTTGTCAGTACAGAGCCTGACATGGGGCTTTTATTCACAAATCAGGAGATCATGACCTGAGGTGAAATCGGATGCTTAACCAATTGAGCCACCCAGGTTCCCCTTTTATGGAGAATTTAATACATATGCAGAAGCAAACAGAATAGTGTGATGAATCACTGTGTACTCATCACCCAGCCCTAACAACCAACCCATGACCAAGCTTACCCCAGGCATTGTCCATATCTACTTTCCTCCTTCTCCAATTATTTTGAAGCCAATTCAGATATCATATTTTATCTGTGAAATTTTCAATATACAGCTAAGAGAAGGACTCTTTTAACATAACCACAATACCATTATTATACCTTAAAAATAATAATTCCTTAATATTATCAAATATGCAAGAAGTGTTCAAATTTTCAGCTGTTTCCCACGTGTCACATTTTTAAAAGTTTGTTTTGAAATCAGGATCCAAAATGGTTTACATGTTGCAATTGGTTGACGTGTCTTTTTTTTTTTTTTTTAATTTTTTTTTTTTTCTTCAACATTTATTTATTTTTGGGACAGAGAGAGACAGAGCTTGAATGGGGGAGGGGCAGAGAGAGAGGGAGACACAGAATCGGAAACAGGCTCCAGGCTCTGAGCCATCAGCCCAGAGCCTGACGCGGGGCTCGAACTCACGGACCGCGAGATCGTGACCTGGCTGAAGTCGGACGCTTAACCGACTGCGCCACCCAGGCGCCCCAGTTGACGTGTCTTTTAAGTTTCCTAATATATAGGTTCCCCTTCCATCTCTGGTTTTACCCCTGCAGTTTATTTGCTGAAGGAACCAAATTGTTTGTCCAGCAGAGTTTACCACAGTCTGGACTTTATTGATTGTGTCCCTATGGTGTGGTTTGACATACTCCTCTATCTTCTGTATTTCCTGTAAATTAGTTATTGGATCTAGGTGATGTTATATATAAGTAGGTATTTCTGTTAATTAACCTGGGAACTAAAGCATTATTTATAGTGTTGTGTATATGACAAAAGATGCCTTGTGAGTTCTAATCAATTGATTTGGGGACATAATTATTTTATCCATATAGTGCATGGGGGGCTATTAGCTAATAGTATTGCTAAAATAAATTCTAGCCTTAATTTCAAAAATGCCCCAAGATGAGAATATATCTAGAAATAGGAGTTCTTCTTACATAATAAAAAGGAGTCATCCTAGAGATTAGAGGATTTTTACATGAGATAAAATGAGCAGTGGAGGTGTTTAAATGACTTATCTAATCCAAATTGTTTTTGTACTTACAATAATGTTTGTAAATAATCTTTCAAAATTTTAGAACTAGAACACTGTGTTTATTGTTTTTACTTTCTCAGTGATTATAAAACATTTGTATTGCATTTTTGCTAAATTGGGCCTATTCAGTGGTTTTTCTTAAAATACTTTCATACACTCATTCACTAGATATTTATTGAGTGATCCCTACTTGCCAGGCATTGGACTAGGCAATGGGAAATATAATTGTGATGAGAACAAATTTGGTCCCCCTTTTCATGGAACCTCCTAGTTGAAAATCTCTTTTTTCCCCCATAAATTCATCTCAAATTGATTTAAGGTAAGCAATGAAGAAAGAAGCTTATTTCTTTATGTGAAGTCAAGAAATGGACTGACTTGAGGAATTACTGAATTCAAAGGCTTAAATAACAAGATTTCATCATTTTTTTCTTCCTTGACTTTCTTTTTCTCTGTATTGGCTTTTTTTTTTTTTTTTTTTTTTACAAAACCTCTCCCTCTTTGGTGGCCTTGATATTTCTATAAACTTAAGATCCATCAAGAAGAGTGCTTTTTCTCCTTCCAGTAATTTCAACAGAAATCTCAGCCTTGGGTCTCATGTGTCAAGTCTAGGTTTAGAGTATTTAGTTGGGAGATGGAGGGGAGGATGAATCAACCCCATCTAAACCTCTTGGTTACTGAGAATAATGGAGAGAATGGTTCCCCAGAGGGAAACCAAGGCATATTTACCAGAAAAGAGCATTTGATTCTGGGAAGACAAAAACCAACATTTATCTGCTTTGGCTTATCCTTCGGCTGTTTAGCAACCCTACTGTACTAGTTATGTGTTGTTGCATAATAAATCACTCTAAAACATAGTGGCTTAAAACAACAACATTTGTTATTTCTCGGTTTCTGTGGGTCAGGAATCCAGGCATGGCTTTGCTAGGTTTTCTGGCTTAGAGTCTCTCACTAGGCTACAATCAAAGTGTTGGCCAGGGCTTTAGTCACATCTGAAGGCTCAACTAGGGGGGGGATTTGCTTCTAAGCTCATTGACATGGTTATTGGCAGGATTCTGTTTATCATGATCTGTTGAACTGAGAGACTCAGTTTCTTCTAGACTGTTGACTGGAGGCCACCTACAGTTCCTTGTATGTAGCGTCTCCAAAGGGCAGCTTACAACTTGGCCATTTGCTTTATCAGAACAAGCAAGTGAGAAGGGCCAGAGCAAGTGTGAGCAAGATGTAAGTCACAGTTTTGTTTTTTAAGTTTTTATTTATTTGAGAGAAACAGAGACAATCTGAGTGGGGGAGGGGCAGAGAAAGGGAAAGAGAGAATCCCAAGCAGGCTCTGAGCCAGCACAGAGCCCAATGCAGGGCTTGAACCCACGAAACTGTGAGATCATGACCTGAGCCGAAACCAAGAGTTGGATGCCCAACTGACTAAGCCATCTAGGCACCCCATAAGTCACAGTTTTTTATAACCTGAACTCAGAAGTAGCATCTCATCACTTTTACCATATTCTGTTCACTAGAAGCAAGCTCCTAGATCCTATCCATACACAAGTAGAGAGACTTCTACACTGATGTGAATAACAATAGGTAGAGATCACTGACCACCACCTTACCAGCTACCTACCAGATATACTTACACTTATTCATATACATATAATTCAGAAATGCACTACTAACTATTGCAGCTGTTCTGTATGCAATTGAAAACAAACCCATCCCTCCCTAAAAGAAGATAATTTAGACTCATCTACTTACTCCATTCAGTTCTAAATCTCTGGTCTAGAAAACTATAAATAAATGTGAGTTTTAATTATTCTCCTCCCTCTCCCCATATTCCTAACTTACACTAATGAAGGGAAAACAGAACAGCTGCAATGAAAACAGTTTGGAAAAGAGGAGAGAGAAAACAACACACCATG